ATAACTAAAAATATAAATAAATGATACTAATATAATGCCCCATAAACTTTATTTTTTTTATATTACAATATATATATATATATATATATATATATATATATTGCCCCTATCCCCTCTTACTGCTCCGTCATCACAATTCCTACCCCCACTACTACCACTACACCCTTATCACAGCCCTTATCCCAAGGGTGACCAGATTTTGAAAAGAAAAACCGGGACACCCATTAGCGATACAAATTACACATTAGAAGTATTTAACCTATTCCTGGGCAGAAGTGGGTGTTACAGCTCATCCCCTGCCTGGTACTCAAATGAGTGTCTTTTCATTTACATTTTGAAGGAGCATGATCAGAGCACACACATACCCTAGACTAGGGCCATCTTAACAGCATAATAGGCCCCCGGGAAAAGCTTATATTTATTAGTACCTCCAACAAATACAATACATGTACACAGACAGACTGCTAAATACACAAACAGACTGCTGAATACACAAAGACTGTTACACACAGACTGCTGAAAACATACACACAGACTGCTGAATACACACATAAGTAAACTGCTGAATACATACAAAGATAGACCGCTGAATACACACACAAACTGTTGAATACACACAGACTGCTTAATACACACACAGACTGTTGAATATACACAGACTGCTGAATACACACACATAGACATCTGAATACACACAGACTGCTAAATACACACACACACAGACTGCTGAATACACACACACAGACTGCTGAATACATACACACACACACACACACAGACTGCTGAATACATACACAGAGGCTGCTGAATAAACAGACTGCTGAATATACACACATACACACAGACACAGGCTGCTGAATACACACACACACACAGACTTCTGAATACACAGACTGCTGAATACACCCACAGACTGCTGAATATACACACACACACACATAAAAACTGCTGAATACACACAGGCAAACTGCTGAATACATACAAAGACAGACTGCTGAATACACACACATAGACAGCTGAATACATACACACTGCTAAACACACACAGACAGACTGCTGAGTACACACACAGACAGACTGCTGAATACACACACAGACAGGCTGCCGAATACATACACACAGACTGCTGAGTACACCGACAGACTGCTAAATACACACACAGACAGACTGCTGAATACACACACTGATAGACTGCTGAATACATACACACAGACTGCTGAATACACAAACACAAACTGCTGAATACACAAACAGACTGCTGAATACACAGACTACTGTATGCACACATATAGATATCCGCATGCGTCACACTTCAGGTTAGGAAGCAAGGCCTCTCTGCAGTTCCATTGGGTATAGTTGCAGGATTCAGGTACTGTTGTGTGCCCACTCAGATGCAGATCGGCCCCTGGGTCTCAGAAGGTCATTTTCGGTAGATTTCCGTTTAGGCAATGTTTATGGTCGTTGATGCCGGAGCTGTGATCAGGCACATTCAGCAATCTTGGCTGCCAGGCCCCGCCCTCCCCCCGGTGAGGGTGATCTTTGATCTTTGGCCCTTGAAGGCAGATAGCAGATCTCCCCTGTCGGCCACAGCACATGGGGAAAGGAGCCGGCTCTGCAAACCCGGGACATTCATGCGTCCAGAGAAATATTCTCGGGACAAACTGGTGAAAACCGGGACGATCCCGGTAAAACTGGGACGTCTGGTCACCCTGCTTATGTCCCATCACAGCTCCTATGCCCGACTACTGCCCCTATTCCTGATCATAGCTGCTATCACCACATCACAGCCCCTGTCCCACCACATTACAGCCCTTCCCCCCCATTTTCCCACTAAAGCCCCTATTACACCAAACACTTACTACAGCCCTATCCCATTGCACACACTATGGCCCCTACCCCTATTATTCCCTGCACTCACTACAGTCCCTATGCACCCTGTACCCACTCCAGCCCTTATGCCGCCTGCACCCACTCCAGTTCTCCTGCCCCCCTGCACCCACTCCAGCACCTATTCCTCATGCACCCACTAAAGCCCCTATTACTCTCTGAATAGAGAGGCCCCCTCCCTCCCCTGCACCCACTACAGCCACTGTCCCCCTGCACCCTCCCAAAGTCCCTATTATCGCCCTGCACTCACTAAATTCCCTAACCCTTGCACAAATTACAGCCCTATCCCCCCTGTGCACACTACAGACCCTATGCCCCTTGCACCCATTAAAGCCCCTTTTAGCCCCTGCACCGACTACAACCTCAATTCCCCTTGCACCCACTGCAGACTACTGTAAATATTACTCCCACTCATTAAAGCCAGTACCGTGAACACTATAATCCTGCACCAGTATTGATGAGTGGAAGTTCCATTCCCTGAAGCCTTGTGACTACATTTTACATTGAAACCTCACTAAAAACAGGTTGGAGGCACAAGATGTCTGGAAGTATTAATCCAACATATCAAAGGACCAACATATGAAATGTGACCACTCATACTCATCGCTGGCATTGATGAATTGATGGATCAGTCCTAGACGTCTTGTGCCTCCACTGTGTGATGCTGAAGAGTTCTGCGAATTTCACTGCCACTCAAAATAGCCAGCACTCTGAACACGTTAATCCTGTTTAGCGTTAATGAGTGGGAGTTACAGTAACAGATACCCTGTGCCTACAATGTGGCTGTGGCAAAAAACACAATCAACCACAGTGTATGGCCAAGACTATTGCGAATGTAAATATCACTAACCCAAAGTCAGTAATATAACCCTCATATCCCGGTGCTAGCATTGATGAGTAGGAATAACAATTAAAGAAGCCTTATGCTTCCACCGTGGCTCAGTTGGCAAACACTACAAGCTGCAGAAAAGGCACAAGACTTCTGGGACTGTAACTTCCCGTCATCAACCGTAGAACAGGATTAATGGGATGAAAGCTATAATGTGATTACCAAATTACATTTGTATCAGAGACTTTGCAGAAGGAATAGCTATTTACTTGGTAGGGAAAACTTTTACTCTGAAAAGAGAATTTTGGCAAAATGTGTCATGATTGATTTTTCCGTGTATAAGACTGTTTTTTAAAAAAAAAAACTGGTAGTCGCATGTGGCTGGAGCGCCAAAAAAATATATAATTATTACGCCAAATACTTATGCTACTTACTCAGTGCGATCTGGGCATGAAATTTGGCTACTCGCTGACAGAACACTCAGCTGACTGTTCGGTTCGCTACTGCCACGTTCCTGCAGGCATAGGCTGTGTTGTACACCTATACGACCTTCTGACATACTTGAAGCAGAGGAGATGCTTCTCCATGAATGTGATTGTTTGTGTGATTTTGCGCAACTGCATGCTTCCTTGCATCATTCAGGACCACGCCAAGGCTCTGGACTACAGATAGACGCCGCAGGGTTTGGCCTTGCTTGGACATCTTCGTAGGGTACCGTAGGCAGAGGGCATTGTTGCTGTCAACAGTAGGATGGCTGCCCAGGGAACCAGACTCTGGACATGTCCGGACATCGGGGAGCGTATGAGGGGATCCGGGACCGGTGGGGGATCCTGATCATCAAAAATATGTATTTCTTAATTTGGGGCTAAAAAAATATGGGTTGTCTTATACATGGGGGCCTCTTATACATGGAAAAATACGGTAATTAGTTATAGAAAGTTTATTTTATTTATTTATTTAAAATGGAAATTTTAGTTAACTGTAAGTCTGCAGATGAAATCTGCCAGCATTATATGACTTAGTAAAGACAAAAAGGGAATTGGGGGCACACCTAGAACATACATTTCTCAGGAATGGTGCTGCTGTAGAAACCAAAACGTATACATAATACAGATTAAGGGACAGCGCATAAATAAAAATTGAGTTTTACAATTTATAAGGCTACTTAAAATACCTATTTTAGCAAACAAACGTGGGGATTCAGCTCCATCATATGGCCAATGTGGGAGAATTAGTGTAGGACCCACTAATATTGGTTGTACTGTGAAGTAGTGGTGGGCTTAAAACACAATATATGCTATAAGTTTGACCTACGCCTGTATGTACTGGTCACGTCATATGGCCCTCTAATATATATATGAAGAGGGTCTTACTAAGTTTGCCACCGTTAAGTACAAACCAACAGAGAAGAACATTAAAAACCAATTCATGCTCTTGACCAACACCTGCATGAACAAGGAAAATGCAAACTATGTGAGCTCCACAAATCCAGAAGTGGAAAATTACGGCAGTAGATGGAGCATGGGTGCTATGCTGCGTCACTTGTAAGAAGGAGTTCCATTGAACTATTAAACATTGTCACTGGTTTCTTGTCTACCTACCAACAACTTTTTCTGAAACTCAATCAGCTATAGTGAGACGAGGAAGCACCCGACTCTGACACATACTCAAAAACGGGTACAATATTGCAATGATATGTCTGACTAGAGTTGATTGTAAGACAAAAAGTAAACTAACCCAAAACCATAAGTTAGGACATTAGGCTTCTCTTATAGGTTATATAAACTATATTATTATTCCATATTGAATATGCAGCATTCTTCATGGATACCTAGCATATTGTTTGTAAAATATATTTTATTTGGCATGGGTTTTCCATAATTTCTTATTAACATAGGATGAGTTGGGGGGCGTGGCTTGGACGGCAAGGAGATCAGTCGCATGGCGTTTGAGCTCTGGCGATACAGAGTGGATAACCAAGCAAATACCCGTTTCCTTCCAGCTAAACATCCAACTTACCGGCCTGACATCTCACAGAAGGTATGGGGAAGAGGCACAAGAAGCTCAAAGCCCTGTCAGGCGAGGGAATCTGCAATATCGATGATATGCTGCAGCGGGGTACTAGGCCCAAGAAGGCGGGCGGCGGGAGACTAACACCTACTAATCATCAGAGGAGGAACTCCTAGATGCCTCAGACACCCTCTAAGAAACAGGGGGACTTAATACACCTCAGTCTACAGAAGACCTCAACACCCCAGTCACCAAGGGGGACATACTGGAGCTGATGAAATACACAAGGGCATACTTTAACTCTGACCTCAATGTGGTTAGGGAAGAAATAATGGCTTTGCAGCAAAAACTGGCTAATCGAGTAGATGCCCTTGATGATTACCACAAATGCAAAAATCTAAAGCTCAGGGGCATCGCCGAAACGGTGGAGGACGAAGAACTACCACACTTTGTTAGAAGATTGCTGACAACTCTCCTGCCCCAACGACAAGTCAAATCACTGCCAATTGAAAGCTGTCACCAACTACCCACCTTGAATAAAACACCAGCAGGTGTACCTAGAGATGTGCTAATCTGCTTCTCGTCGTTCCGCGACAAAAAGCAGGTGCTGGAGACACTGCGGACGCAGTCAGCAATACAATTCGAGACCTCAAGCCTCACAGCTCTACAAGACCTCTGCCAGTCGACACTGGAATGGAGCCAAGCCTACATGCCGTATCACTGGGGGACAGCTCACTCACTTTTGGCCACTAACTCAGCTACCTTCCTGCAGTCCTTGGGTATCTCCAGCCACAACATGGGACACTTCAACAATTACCCCTTTTGTTCCACGCTCTGTCACCGACACAGAATGAACTCTGTCTTGCATACTGGGCATACCCTGCCAGCTATAAGGTTCCTTCAGTAAATTTTTATTACCCTCATTAAGTGCCCACTATGATTGCTGAAGTTGCAATCCTCTTTAAAGTAATGTCAGCACCCAGCTAAGTTGAACATGTCCAGCTGAGGTGTATTCCACCTGCACCAACCACCCCCCTTCCCCTTGGCTCAGGGAAACAGAGTTGCAACACCTTCACTACCCTGACACACAACAACATGAGCACATAGCAATACCTGAAAGCAAAACACGTTGTTACGCATTACATATAATTCACCAATATTCCTCCCTTACACACTAGCTCATAACAACATTGATTGTAACATTTAAAATAGGGCATTGTTTATCTACCTGGAACAACGAATGCAGTATTGGTTCCACACTTCTAAGCACGATTGTCTCTACCACATTCATTAGCCCACCAAAACATAGAATACCACAATTCAGCTTTTACACCTGAAACCATCTCACCTATATGCCATCCCACATACATCTGAGTATTCACTGTTTAATGACATGACATGTAGGCTTTTGTTTTAATTTTGTTTATTAACTTTAAATTAAAAAAAAAAGTGTTCTTGATGCCACATTAATGTACTCATATATCTAAAACTCTGTTTGCACCAGCTATTGTGGCGGTGCAAATCTGCTTGTTTACCAAATGCACAAATAAAATAAAGAATTAAAAAAACAAACAAAGATAGGATGAGCTGCCTGGAAGGACTGGAACAACAGGATCTAGAAAATAATCTTCTGGAGCTTTGTGGTCCATAAACTGTGCCTGGCTATCTTTACCAGCAAAGCCAGGTAAGGCTGTAGCCAGGGCCGGTGCAAGGATTCTTGCTGCCCTAGGCAACAATCCATTTTGCCGCCCCCTCATGAAGGCAGCTACATTCTCTCAAAGGTTTATTCACTAAATTCTGAATTTCAATGAAGAGACAGTTAGGGGAAAAACCACAATGTGTAGAAACACTTATCCAGTATATGCATCCATATACACACACTGCCTAATACATCCATCCACACAGATTGCCTATTACATACAATCAACCATACACACACATTATTATTATAATATTTATAGAGCGCCGTCAAATTCCGCAGCGCTTTACAATGGGTGGACGAACAGACATGTATTTGTAACCAGACAAGTTAGACACACAGAAACAGAGGGGTTGAGGGCCCTGCTCAATGAGCTTACATGCTTACACATACATCCATCCATCCACACAGACTGCCTATTACATACTATCGACCATACACACACATCCCAATACATAAATCCACACACCGAATAATACATACATTCATACACTCATACTGCCTAATGCATACATTCATACACACATACTGCCTAATGCATACATCAATAGACACATACTGCCCAATATATATAGTCATACACTCTTTTTCATTGCATTTGGTGGTATTTAATTTATAATAATGTTGGCATTTAATTTATGTTACAGTGAACATTAAGTAAAACATTTTTTCGGTTTAATATACAATTATATTAATATATATTATAAATATAATTTGTTACATAAATATCTATTTACATGGTCACATACACACACTAGCACACACTCTCACAGACATACACACACTGTTACTTACACACTCTCACTGACATACATACACATTTCCAGGGCCAGATTAAGAGACCAGTGGGCCTGGTGCTGACAATTATGACGGGCCTAATTACAGAATCATATCGACCAAAAACAGTAAAACACTCCAAAGCATCATGTATCCATAACCCCTAACAGCAGTGTCCAGTCAGGCAGGAAGTCAATGGGCATGGTAAAAGGGTGTGCCACGGACATAAATCACGTAACCTGCCAAAAGGGGCGAACATGCCCAAAAAGAGGACATGTCTGCTCAAAGAATTAGAAGGCCAGTCTGGCATGAATGCATGTCAGGCTGCCTGCCAATCATGCAGCTGGCCAACTAAGGGCATACTATGCAGACAGCACCCTGAGCTTGGCATAAATGCATCTAATGATGCGCTCACTCAACGCTTTCTAAGGACTGTCCCCTAGCACTCGCTGGTCCACTTGTCTCCTTACCTTCTTACTAGCAGGCAGAAGCTCCTGGTATATGGTCTGGGACAGAGAAAAGCTGTATGTAGTGAGTGTAGAAGAAAGGGAACATGCCACAGTGTTAGAGAGACCAAAGTCAGCATTACCTTAAAGGATCACTATAGGGTCAGGAACACAAACATGAATTCATGACCCTATAGTGTTAACACCACCATCTAGCCCCCCTGGGCCCCTCATGCCTCCATAAATATAGCAAAATCTTACTATATTCAAGCCTGAAGCTGTAACTCTGCATGCTGTTAGACTCATAAAAACAAGCAGTCTGCTGACATCATTAGAAGTGGTGGCCTGATCCAATCACAGTGCTTCCCCATAGGATTGGCTGAGACTGACAAAGCGGCAGATCAGGGTCAGAGCCAGCATGATTCAAACACAGCCCTGGCCAGTCAGCACCTCTTTATATAGATGAATTTAATTAATGAATCTCTATGAGGAAAGTTCAGTGTCTGCATGCAGAGGGAGGAGACACTGAATGTTTGGATGCATTTTAGGCAACCATGACCCAGGAAGGATTTCTAACAGTCATCTAAGGAGTGACCAGTGAAGTTATCACTAGGATGCAATGTAAAGACTGCATTTTCTCTGAAAAGCAGTGTTTACAGCAAAAAGCCTGACGGTAATGATTCTACTCAACAGAACAAATTCAATAATCTGTAGTTGTTCTGGTGACTATAGTGTCCCTTTAACTATATTCATTGTCAGCCAGTCTACACAGTTTTGTTCCCATACATCCCACTTAAGTTTCCATACTTAAGTAAGAGTATGTGAAAAGTAGTAGGGTTGCCACCTTTCTTGGAAAAACATACCGGCCTTACTAATTTGCATAATTAAATATGTATGGGTGACATCACATGATGTAAATCACAAGGTGTGACATAAGAGAAAATGCTGTAAAATCACCAAAAAACTACTTAGTTTGATTCTGCTGTATGGATGGATTCCTCCCAGTGCCCCCATGTCTCCCAGTGCCCTCATGACTCAGTGCCCCCATATGTCGATTACTCCAGGTCTCAGTGTTCCTATGTATCAGTGTCTCAATGCCCCATGTCTCCCAGTGTCCCTTAGTGTCTCAGTGTCTGCCATAATGTCTCCCAGTGTCCCTTACTGTCTCAGTGTCTGCCATAATGTCTCCCAGTGTCCCTTAGTGTCTCAGTGTCTGCCATAATGTCTCCCAATGTCCCTTAGTGTCTCAGTGTCTGCCATAATGTCTCCCAATGTCCCTTAGTGTCTGTCAGTGTCTGCCATAATGTCTCCCAATGTCCCTTAGTGTCTCAGTGTCTGCCATAATGTCTCCCAATGTCCCTTAGTGTCTCAGTGTCTGCCATAATGTCTCCCAGTGTCCCTTAGTGTCTCAGTGTCTGCCATAATGTCTCCCAATGTCCCTTAGTGTCTCATTGTCTGTCATAATGTCTCCCAATGTCCCTTAGTGTCCCAGTGTCTGCCATAATATCCCCCAATGTCCCTTAGTGTCTCAGTGTCTGCCATAATGTCTCCCAGTGTCCCTTAGTGTCTCAGTGTCTGCCATAAAGTCTCCCAGTGTCCCTTAGTGTCTCAGTGTCTGCCATAATGTCTCCCAGTGTCCCTTAGTGTCTCAGTGTCTTCCATAATGTCTCCCAGTGTCCCTTAGTGTCTCAGTGTCTTCCATAATGTCTCCCAGTGTCCCTTAGTGTCTCAGTGTCTGCCATAATGTCTCCCAGTGTCCCTTAGTGTCTCAGTGTCTGCCATGTCTCCCAGTGTCCCTTAGTGTCTCAGTGTCTGCCATAATGTCTCCCAATGTCCCTTAGTGTCTCAGTGTCTGCCATAATGTCTCCCAATGTCCCTTAGTGTCTCAGTATCTGCCATAATGTCTCCCAGTGTCCCTTAGTGTCTCAGTGTCTGCCATAATGTCTCCCAATGTCCCTTAGTGTCTCAGTGTCTGCCATAATGTCTCTCAATATGTCTCCTTGCAGCTGTAGGCTGTCTCTGCAGGGTGGGAGTTGCTGTCTGGACTCTCTGTAGCTGCACCCCTGCAGATCAGTAAGTATAGATAGGCAGGGAGGGATATGCTGGAACTTCCTATCCCTGCCTGTCTCCACATACAGCGACCCCTACTGGCCAGTGCTGGTATTGCAGAGTAATCTCTTGTTTATACTGATAAAAATACCAGCATTTGTATTGCCAATATCACTGCAATATTGGCACAAGCCAGGCAGCCTCAAATACTGGCTGTGCCAATAAAATAAAAGCCAGGTGGAATCCCTAAGAGTAGTGTGTGAAAAAAAAAAATGTTAAAAAATTTTTTTTTATTTTTTTTTTTTAAATCAATGGGCCTATTCCATGGGCCTGGGCCTGGAGCTGCAGCTCCATCAGCCCCTATGTTAATCCGGCCCTGCACATTTCCACTAACACAGACATACAGTGTCACATTTCCACACTTTCACTGACATACAGTGTCAGTTACACATTCTTATTAACACACACTCTCACTGACATACACAGTGTCACTGACATATAGTGTCAGTTATACACTTTCACTAACAGACACACTCACACTGACAAACAGTGTCACTTACACACTCTCGCTAGTACACACACTCTCACTGACATACAAAGTGTCACTTACACAATCTCACTGACATACATAATGTCATTTACACAGAATCACTAACACACACACAATGTCAGTTACACACACACACAGTTTCACTTACACACACACAAACTCTCGGTGACATTCACAGTGCCAATTAAACTCTCACAAACACACACACACACTGTCACTCATGCAGAAACTCACACCACTTTACATATAGTCACACTTTATTTACACACACAATACAGCAATTCAATACACACAGACCAATTTACAATCAATCACTCATACTCATAATTAGTTCCCCTTACCTTCAGATCTTCGATACATAAGTGCTGTGAATGGAGTAGAGGGGTCCAGCCTGCAGGTAGTTGCCATTGTTCCTGGTGGGGGGAAGCAGGAGAGCTGTGCACTGTGAGCACAGGTTGCTTCCTAATCCCCTCAGAGTTTCCGATGTTTACAGGCAAGGGGCAGCCGAGATACCAGTTCATGTCCAGGCTTCCCCTGCCTGAAGGAAGCAGAGTGCTCTGCTCGGGTGCTGGGGTTACAGCATACTCCGCTCCCCGAGCAGGTAATCGGAGGCAGAGGGAGCCAAGCAGCTGCATGGCTGCGCTGTGAGGTGGCTAAGGAGTCGCTCGCCCAGCACACCAGCCCCAGATAGCAGCAGAGCAGCCAACCAGGAAACCTCCCAGTAGGCGCCCACAGAGGCCGGTGCCCCAGGCAAATGCCTTATTTGCCTAATGGTAGCGCTGGCCCTGGCTCTAACAGTAGCATTTGTACCGTTCAGTTACCCAGAGACAGAGAGATCTCAACGTGTTCTGGACCTGAGTGTTTAAAGTGCAACCGTCACCTCCCAGGCGTTTTACATAATTTTTACATGTTTACATATTTCCTATATTTAATAAAGCATACACACGCTGTTGCACTTTACATGAAAAGTGTGGCCCTTTTTTTTAAAATAAATTCTTTATTTTGTGGTGCAAACAATTGACACAGACTCTTGCGTTGCCCCAACAGCAAGTACAAGATAAGCAAATACATAAATGAACAAATAGAGGGCATGGTGGGTCACTGCACACATTTTTCTTTTTTAGTAGTAGCTAGGTCACGTGGTTTTCAAACATGTCTAGGGTGTATAGCAAAACTTAAGACGTGGTTGATGTGGGTTGTATAGACATGAGTGGTATGTGGGTGCGTGGCTTAAAACTAGATTGTTCGGCTAGCTGGTATGTCGTTATCTGATTAGTGAGTAACAAACTATCTGAGCTGCGGCCTATTAGGTGCCGTACATGCTAGTTATCAAGATGCAAGGAGAGAAAAAATATATATATATCAAACACATTTAAGATGGGGACAGGCTGATAAAGGAGTTAAGTGTGAGCGGACTTGGCATTCGGGCTGGGTACAAATCTTGCCGTTATTGTTACGAGGGACCTATGAGCTGGCTATATTCAGTGATGACTGAGAGCCTATGGAATCAGATTCTAAAAGAAAATAAGACAAAAAACCCTGAGATAGGAATCCCTAGAACGTGGCTGCCCTGTGTGAAGCAAGGTCCTTGCTAGACATGTCAGGCAATGAAGTGATGTATGCATTATATATGGAATTGTACTGTAAAGAAGGCAACTGCCTAAATAAGCAAAGAGAAGAAAAAAAAAAAAAAAAACGAATTCAAGTGGGCCTTGCTGTTGGGAGTCCACCCTGGGGTGCGTAGCCGATGTCGGTTAATGGCAGGCCTGCCACTCTGCTGCCCAAAATTTTTTCCCCTGGCTGGTAATTAGTTGTGTAGTTGCGTGTATGAGTGTGCACCAGTGCAGTGTGGTCTTGTAGTTAGTGAGTGTGTGTGGGAGGTGCGGTCGATGGGAGTGCCTGGTGTATGATGAGATTGGGGCGCTAAGGTCGAGTCTTTCTAGCCAGGTGTATGTTAGTAAATCCTACATGGCATATCACATTAGAGGTCGACATCGATAAGATAAAGTCAATCATATTAAATTAAAGTAGTCAAATTAAGGTGGGAACAAAGAGTAGGTAACAACAGTAGCTATGTAGCAATAGGGTTAATAGTGATTAGGCATATTATCAGCATTTGTAAGCATTAAACACAGTTCGGACCGTTATGAATAGGTTTTGTATTGACTGTCCTGACAGCGTCTGGGTGACACTTGGAGAGCGATTTGCAACATGTGTGGTGCCCTTGTTCGTATCGTCTTGTCAGATGTCCCATGCAACTGCCCGTTGCAGTTCATGTGGGTCGGGTGTGAGGCCTTGTGGTATGAACGGGACAATTTTGGTCGGGTCCCATCTGCGCTGCGGAGATACTGGGTTCTGGCTCTTCTGGCCTTTTGGGTTGAGGGAGTCCATAGGTAGGCCCAATGATTGGAGGAGCGGTGCCGCATGGCACAGGTCCCGTACCTGATGCGAGTCTGTACCCTGCTGGACTGTCAGGGTGTGGGATGGTCCCCAGCGGTATCTGAGGCCCTTTTGGCGGAGAAGTATGGTAAGTGGCTGGAGGGTTCGTCTCCATGCCAAAGTGCTGTTGGAGAGGTCGGCGTAGAAACTCAGTGCCCTGTTATCAAATTGTAGGGGTGTCCTGCCCCGCAGGGTGTCCAGTACTGCCGTTTTGTCAATTCCGTTCCGGAAAGCAACTATGGCGTCCCTGGTGGTCCCAGTAGGTGCCTTTGGGGATTTGGGGATCCTGAAAAGGTAGTCAGGGTGTATGTGATCTGCCTGTGCGGGTGGCAGTATTGTCGCGAGCAGGCGTTTGGTGACCTGTGGTAATTCTGCATCTGTTATTTCCTCCGGGAGTCCCCTAATTTTCAGGTTGTTACGCCGTCTGGCGTCTTCGTGCTCAGCCATGCGGTATTCGTGGGAACGTTGTTGTATCTGCAGATCCTGCTCAGTACGTTTGAGTTCCTCTATGTCCCCGGTATTTGTTTCGGTACGGTTCTCCATTGTATTTAGGCGGGTGGTCAACCCCTTTAGATCTCCCCTCAGTGCAGTGATGTCCTTGTGGATTTCGTCATGGCGATCCACTAATAATTGCTTAAGGATCGCCACTGTCACTGGTGTGGAGTCCGGTGTGGTGTTGGTCGGTGGTGAGGGCTTTTCCGCCGCGTGGACTGGTAAGTATTGCTCTCCTGAGAGGTCATCGGAGAAGTCCGAGCATCCCCCGTGGAGTGCCGCCATGTTGCCTTCGTTTGCGCCTCGGGCCTGCCTCCACATGTCTCCTATGGTGAGTCCCGGGTTGTTTTTCCACGGGTTTGTTTTTTTCGTTTTGCGTCCCATTTCGTTAGGGTGTATGCTGGGGGTTTCTGCCGTGGTTTAGGCGTAGTTAGTATGGGTATTTTTCGGGTTTTTCTCGTTTGTGCCTCGGAGCTCCGGAGTATTGCGGCCGCTCGTCTAGGCTGTCAAGCTCCGCCCCAGTGTGGCCCTTTTTAACCTCAAGTTTAACAAGTCTTTCCAAGGGCAGCACATTTTATGCAATGCTCAAAGTGAATTTCAAGCTTCTTGATTTATTTTTTTTAATTTAATTTCTGTTTTATTTTCACATGTTTTCTTTTTATGTTGTCTTTTTGTTTTAATATCTTTACCCTGGACTAATGCCTTTCTTGTTTCCCTTCAAGGAGCACAAGAAAAGTGCTGACCTGCCTACTGTGTTTCACCACATTGCGGACACATACTTACAAACAGGTACAATATTACAGTGATATGTCGCACTAGAATTGTGTGTAAGACAAACCCAAAAACATAAATTAAGACAAAATATTGATATCTGTTAGACATTTCTAACAACTGTAAAATGAAAATCTATAAAATATTTATATTCCATATTGAATACGCTGAATTCTCCATAGATAACTAAAATTTTGCTTGTAAAATGTAATTCATGTGGCATGGATTTACCATTTTTTCTTTATTTTATTTTTTATAACCTTAGGGTGACCTGATTGGAGGGACTAGAACAAGAGAATCTAAAAAAGTATATTTGTGGTTCAGAAACTGTGTCTGTATCAAATGGGGCATCTTTACCAGCAAAGCCAGGTAAGGCTCTAGTAGTAACATTTCTATCGTTCAGTTACCCAGAGACAGCCAAACCTCAATCTGTGCTGACCCTGACCTGAGTGTTTAAAGTGGAACCATCACCTCCCAGGCGTTTTACTATTATGTTTACTTATTTCATATACTTAAAGGGACACTGTAGGCACCCAGACCACTTCAGCCCATTGAAGCGGTCTGGGTGCCAACTCCCATCACCCTTAACCCTGCAAGTGTAATTATTGCAGTTTTTATAAACTGCAATAATTACTGTGCAAGATTAAGTCCTCCTCTAGTGGCTGTCTACCAGACAGCCACTAGAGGGACCTCTGGCTTCTTAGACAACTAAAAGTCGTCTAAACGATGCTGGACGTCCTTGCGCTATGCATGAGGACCTCCAGCATCGCCGGAATTCCCATAGGAAAGCAATGAATAATGCTTTCCAATGGGGAGGTCTAATGTGCGCATGCGCATTAGGTCTCCCCCACCGGTGGACATCGGCGTGGGAGGAGCGTGGGCGGAGCCTGGCTCAGTGCCGAGGGACATCGGCGCTGGATTCAGGTAAGTGTCTCAAGGGGTTTTAGCATTGGGGGGCGGGAGGGAGGGGGGCACTGCAGGATTCTGTAGTGCCAGGAAAATGGGTTTGTTTCCCTAGAGAATCCCTTTAACACATATGTTCTTGTGAGGTCTGACAAATAAAATTAAATAAAAAAAAGAAAGAAATGAGCACTACTGTATTTAACAGGGACATTGCTGTGGATATTCTGAGATTATAAATAAATGCTTGGAGTTCCTTTCTATCTGAAGTTGTGACTTTTACTGTGGTCCATATTTTAAGGCAGAATGTATGTATGGGGATCTAAGTTTAAAATTAGGAACAAGATTAGTGTTTGCCACTAACTATTTTAATTATTTTTCTTTAGTCAGGAACAAACAGGAGGCTGATGACAATGGTAACTAAAAAGCTGGTCTGCAATGTCAATTTTTCAAATGCCCTATAACGTTGGATGGAAAGACTTTGTTTGCCAGCTGGATTGTGTGTACTGGATGAAGATCTCCTATCAAATACCCCCCTTTTAAACTAAACTGCTACCGTAATAGACCTTGTCTCAGATAGAATTGGTCTGGGCAAGGTGAGAATCACCAATTTTGATGAGTAATTCATCCCCATGGATGTTTACTGTGTAAATGTATTTCCTGTGAACATTATTGTATAATAAAATGCCTTTATCGATATTTTTCTAGTGTGTAACATATATACTATGGAATTGGAATCTGCAGCTAAATAACTGGATATTGACAAATACAATATGCATTTGTCTGTGAGTGTTTAAATAGAACATATTAGAAATACCCAGATTTATTTCTACAGACTAGCTGTGGCGGTGTGTATGCCTGTATGTATGGAGGCTGTTTGTGAGATTGTGTGTGTGGAAAGGTAGCTGCATGTGCTTTTGGAGTAGCTTTAGAGTCTTGGTTTGCATGCGTGGGGGGAGCTGCTTGAGAAGTTGTGTGTGGGGGAGAGGCTGTGTGTGGTTGTATAAACAAAGCAGTAGAGTATACACACTATAGAAAATTATGTGAAAATCATATATTAGGGAGAGATCCCAGGTGTACCTCACTAACACCTAACACACATATAATTGAAAAACCAAGTGGAAAACATCTCCCAAATACGTGGTAATATAAGAACAAGTACAGATAACCTGAAATATAGGTCGTGGTTCATAAACGGAATCTGTATAATAGTGACACTCACCTATTTAGTACTGTACTATGCTATGTCAGTCTTTTAATCTTTTATACAGATTCCATTTATGAACCACGACCTATATTTCAGGTTATCTGTACTTGTTCTTATATTACCACGTATTTGGGAGATGTTTTCCACTTGGTTTTTCAATTATATGTGTGTGGTTGTATGTCTGTGAAGGGGGCTGTTTGCAGTGTAGTGCGTGTGGAGAGCTCTGTTAGTGGTGAAGTGTGTAGAGAGGTAATTTTTTATTCCCCCCTGCATCACCCCTCCCCTCTCCTCATCACATCACCCCCTCTCCTCATCAACCCCCTCCCTCTCACAATCACCCCCCTCCCTCTCACAATCACCCCCTCACAATCACCCCTCCCTCTCACAATCACCCCCCTCCCCAATCACCCCTCCCTCTCACAATCACACACAGTCAACCCTTCCCACAATCACCCTCCCTCTCCACAATCACCACCCCTCTCAAAATCACCCCCCCTCCCTAGGCTCCTCTCAGCCACCCCCCACCATCACCCCCCCCACCTCTCCCCTCCTCCATATCCCCTCCCTCTCAAAATCACCCCCCTCCCACGTCACCCCCTCTCACAATCACTCACAATCACCCCCCCTCACAATCACCCCCTCCCTCTCACAATCACCCCCTCTGAGTCACCCCCTCTCACAATCACCACCTCTCTCCCCAACAATCACCCCTCCCTCTCATCTTCACCCCACACCATCACCCACCCCCCTCTCACCATCACCCCTTCCCTCACACCATTATCCACTGTACAAGCACACACACTGCATTCACTATACATGTGTGTCTGTGTATCTGTATGTGTGTTGGTATATGTGTATCTGTATGTGTATGTGTCAGTGTGTGTCTGTTTGTGTGTCTCTGTATCTGTTTGTGTGTCTGTGTTTGTATCAGTGTGTCTGTATGTGTGTGTATCTATCTGTATGTGTGTCTGTGCCTGTGTGTCTCTCTCTGTATGTGTGTGTGTTTTTATCTATAATTGTGTTTGTATCTGTGTGTCTATCTGTATGTGCCAGTGTTTGTCTGTGTATGACTGTTTCTATGTAACTGCATGTGTGTACCTGTGTGTCTGTGTATGTGTGCCAGTGTGTGTATATGTAAGTATATGTATGTATGTAAATGTGTATACAGCTCAGCATTTCGCCTACACTACACACAAATACAATCCTGCATCCAAATGTCAACACTACAAAAAAAACACCACCATATTCAAAAACCACACTACAGAAAAATGCACTCCTGCATTCAAATGCCAATACATTCACTCACACATACTCCATACAAAACAAAAACATGCTTACATTCAAACACACAAACAGTGCTTGGTGCTAACTACATAAAAATAAAAGCACTGCTCAGTGCTAAAGATATTAAAAGAATTTGGAAGTGTTTTTTTTTTTTTTACATTTTTAAGGGGGTGGAGGGATGCCAAATGCTCCAGGTACGCCCCTGGCACCAGGCATCACTACAGAGGGCGAGCAGGAGCATTGAGGAGCAGGAAGACTGAGCTCCCTCGCTGCCGCCAGCGACCTCTCCTGGGCCGGGCAAATTTTTAGCAGAGTAGACACCTGCAATGTGGGGAGAGCAGGTGCCCACTCTGCCTTAGTAAGCATGTCTCAAACTCGCGGCTCTCTGGGCTGCAAAGATATTCAGTGAGTTTGACATGCTTGTTGTAGCATGTGGGGGAATAGGAGCTGCAGTGAGTGGGGGAAATATAACACATTATTATTATTATTATTTTATTACTTATATAGCGCCAACAAATTCCGTAGCGCTGTACAATGGGTGGACTAACAGACACATAATTGAGATCAGACCACTGGACGTACAGGAACAGTGGCGTACACATGACCCATGGGGCCCCGGTGCTAAAATTGATCCGTGGGCCCCCCCCGCGCGGGCCGGGCCGCAACACATGGCGGTGGGCACCTGGTCGCAGGGGTTACCGGGCTGCGACCCCTGCGACCGCGGTATGTACGCCAGTGCATGCAGATGCACACACACTTAAAGGACCACTCTAGGCACCCAGACCACTTGAGCTTAATGAAGTGGTCTGGGTGCCAGGTCGAGCTAGGGTTAACCCATTTTTTCATAAACATAGCAGTTTCAGAGAAACTGCTGTGTTTATGAATGGGTTAAGCTTTCCCCTATTTCCTCTAGTGGCTGTCCCATTGACAGCCGCTAGAGGCGCTTGCGTGCTTCTCACTGTGATTTTCACAGTGAGAGCACGCCAGCGTCCATAGGAAAGCATTATGAATGCTTTCCTATGTGACCGGCTGAATGCGCGCACAGCTCTTGCCGCGCGTGCGCATACAGCCGACGGGGAGGAGAAGAGGAGGATCGGAGGAGGAGAGCTCTCCGCCCAGCGGTGGAAAAAGGTAAGTTTTACCTCTTTCCAGAGCCGGGCGGGTGGGGGTCCCTGAGGGTGGGGGCACCCTCAGGGGACTATAGTGGCAGGAAAACGAGTATGTTTTCCTGGCACTATAGTGGTCCTTTAAAGGACCACTACAGACACCCAGATCACATCAGCTCAATGAAGTTGTCTGGGTGTCAGGTCCCTCTAGTTTTAACCCTTTCACTGAGGGTTAATCCTGCCTCTAGTGGCTGTCTCACGGACAGCCGCTAGAGGAGCACACTGAACGTCCATAGGAAAGCATTGAGTAATGCTTTCCTATGGGCGGTTTGAATGCGTGCGCAGTCGCATTCGGAGCTGAGAGGCTGAGGGATCCTCAGCGCCAAGGGAGTCCGGCGCTGGAGAAAGGTAAGTGCTGAAGACACACACACACACACACACACACACTTACAGTCGCATACACACTAGCTAACAGACACACACATTTACTGACAGAGATACAGTCAGTGACAGACATACATACACACTCACTTACAAAACATACACTCTCATTGACAAACACAAACTCACTAACAGACATCAAACAGACTCACTAAGACACACACACTCAGTAAGACACACACAGTAACACACTCACTAGCAGACACACACACTAACACACTAACACTCACTAGCAGACACACACTAACACTCACTCTAACACTCACACACACACTAACAAACACACTAACACTCACTCTAACACTCACACACACCACTCACACCTCACACACACACTCCCTAACACACACACCCCAACACACACACACCAACACACACACACTAACACTCACACACACTAACACTCACACACACTAACACTCACACACACTAACACTCACATGATTTTTTGTTAATCCCCCCAGCCTCCTTACCTTTGGAGTGCTGGGGGGATTCCCTGGGGTCCAGTGGTCTGCTGGGCTCTAATGGCAGGTCGTCAGGTTGGTAGAGATGGGAGCGCTACGGAGACACCAGTGCTGCCAGCCCTCGCCGCCAGATGTCGGAGCCGACGATGACGCCACATCTCCGCCCGCATCATTGCGGTGCGCGAGGGAGCTGAAGAGGAAGCACTGAGTGCTCCCTCGCGCGCCCGCCTGCCTGCCTGCCCGACCGGCCACCCGGGGTCAGCAGGGCCAGCCTCAGGGGGGCCCTGGGGTGGTCGGCTCCTGGCCCCCCCAGGGGAAGAGGCTGGCCCTGGGCGTACATACCGGGTCGCAGGGGCGACCCTGGTATGTACGCCACTGTACAGGAACAGAGGGGGTTGAGGGCCCTGCTCGATGAGCTTACATGCTAGAGGGAGTGGGGTATAGTGACACAAAGGGTTAAAGTAGGGGAATTACATAGTTTGTTAGAGAAGGGTTTATTGAGTGCTTGGTAGGTCATTTTTGACAGTTGCAGGAAAGGAGTCATGGGGTGGGGGATGAGAAACCTGCTGACAGTTTAATTGAAACGCTTTAATAAAGAAGTGAGTTTACAAAGATTTTTTGGAGGAGTGGAGGCTGGGTGAAAGTCTGATTGAGGAGGGAAGGGAGTTCAACAGAATAGGTGCAGCCCTGGAGAAGTCTTGAAGGCGAGCATCAGAGGTGGGGATCCGGGCAGAGGATAGGAGTAGGTCTTGGGCTGAACGCAGGGGTCTTGACGGGACATACTTGTGTATTAGGGAGGATAGGTATGTTGGAGCAGTATTATGTAGGGATTTGTAAGCAAGTGCCAGAATTTTGAATTGGGCCCTATAACTAACTGGAAGCCAATGCAGGGACTGACAGAGCGAGGAGGCGTGGGAGGTGTGACCGGACAGGAAAATAAGCCTCGCAGCCGCATTCATTAAAGATTGCAGCGGTGCAAGCTGGGAACATGTAAGACCGGTGAGAAGGGGATAGCAGTAGTCAAGGAGAGAGAGAACCACAGCATGAACCAGCACCTTAGCCGTGTCCAGCGTTAGATATGGGCGGATGCGCGCTATGTTCTTGAGTTGGAAGCGACAGGATTTGGCT